GCCCAACCAACAGCAATAACAATGACAAGCACTAATCACCAGCGACGGGAGAAATCTAAGCGAAGTTGTCTCGTTCACCTACCATCTAGGCAGGATCGTTTCAACTACAGGTAGTGGCACAGACAAAGATGTTAATGCCAGTATCGCAGAAGCCAGACAGGCCTTCAACAATCTGAAATCGGTGTGGTGAAATACTGCACCGCACTGCACTCACCATAGAGAGTGAACAACATCCGGATTTCAACACTAACGTTAGTCAAGTTAGTGCTTCTATGTGTTGGATGAGAGACTTGGCACATCGCAAAACGCATTTCCAACAAATCTCAGACATACATCAACAGCTGCCGCCCATGATTCTAATGGATGCAAGCAATCCTTTGGAGACAAAGTAGATAAAAAAACTGAGTTGTTGAACACCCTTAGATTGGTGAGACCACGCTTCATAAGTGCAGAACAGAACTTACCTCACCGACAAGTTGCGTACCTGAGTTTCTATAAGAAGTTTACCAACATGACAGTGCTAGATGCCGCCCAAACTGGCATCTATCACACTAGATTTCAGTATATAGTTGAAAATCTTATGAGTTAGACATGCATTTGTATTGAAACAGCCATTCAGTAAGCAAACGTTTTGGCTATCCCAAGCGAATTATCACAAAGTATAAATGCAGGCACAGACTCCCGATAGTCTTCCAGTCACAGTTTCACTTCAGTGGCGTTAAGAACACCCCACATACACCAATCCAGTTATAACGCTGACTATTCGCTTTAGCATTCATGTTTCTTTGGAAGGACTTTTTACCAATTGGAGACAGTGAGTGAAGATTCGTTGATTGGGATTATGACTATTAGTCGTCTGAAAACATTTTGAGATGACCGGGATCATTACATCTTCGGCCGCGTCTGAACATTTTGATGTGGTAAATAATTGGTTGCTCGTTTAGCCATCTAAGATAGCTTAGCTTTCTTTGGATTACGATGACAAGTCCTGACTAGGCAGATAGTGTGATTATGACTAACATACAGTTATGCATCACAGAGTCACTTGTTATCTAGGAAGAACCATAAGTGATTGAAATAAAAGCTGGTCAGTTTCTCGGTCTCGTAGCCTGATTGGTAGAGCACTGGAACAGTAGTCTGGAAGCCACTGTTTTCATTTCTGCTGGACTTAGATTTTTATTTCACCTTGAATAACTACTCATACAACAGTAAACTTATTCACTACGCTACATTGGGTGTGTCAGATCTGTTTCCTTAAATGTTTACTTCAACTTTGTCTACTTTGTATCCCTTCAGCTTCATTATGATGACTCCAAAAATATAAGCGAACTCCCAACTCATCCGAATGCTTAGGATAAATATTTAGAATATCATTGGTTCCATTAATTGTTTAGGTAAAAAATAATATATAAGTTTCATAGTTAAACCAAAATCTAATCGGTTCGGGCTTCTTTGTGATAAAAACAAACGGTCAAATTAAACACGACTGTCGATAGTGCACGATGCATCCTCCCTGTATTGTAAATTTCAATCACCATACTGCACATTTCATGCATGAATTAGGACCTGGGAATAAGTGAATGGAATTATGATAAAAGCGGTAAATACTCTCCTATATGTACGCTTTTCAGTGCTAAACTTGCTTTTTTTGTGTACATAACTATTTAATCAGTAAACAGATTGATTGACATGCGCTATAATTAGTTTTTATTGACCCTAGTTTTATTCCACGTGAATTCAGGACAAGTTTTTTATCACCTGAATTATAATCTTAGAAAGTAAGCTAATTTAGAATTAACTCTTATTTGTCTTTGCTGACTTAAGTTTTCTAAGATTTACTTGCATTCAAAAATAACGACGGACAGTTTGCCTATGATAGCTTGTAATTTTTGTAGCGACAAGTTTACTTTTAATGGCGGTAGCCTAAACTGAGTACACACAGTTCGATATCTTTATTGAACAGTGTGATTTTTAGCTTTTTATGAGTTTTGGTTGTATTGTGTTTTCTGAGCTGGGTTGTTTAATCGTGAAGCTTTCGTCGTCTTTCTAGACGACATCATCAGCGCTAACTTCAGGATGGAGTGAGCTGTCAGTATCTCTCCGTGAGTGTTTTAGTAGCTTGCCTTGACGAAGTGGTCATAGACAGGTCACTTCATACTGAAGTTAGTGCTGATGATATTGTCTAGAAGGAGGATGAAAGCTTCACGATTAAACAACCCAGCTGAGAAAACACAATACAACAAAGACCATCCACTTGAGCTACAAATATTCTCCACTATTTTATGACTTTCCTATTTACAAGAACTTAAAACTATACTACTGAACAAGCCTATTCCTTTCTCTGAATTTGTGAAGGTTGTAAATACATGTCGTAAAACATTGAGTTTTTATCAAATCAATGAACTACTGTAGAAGACAACAAGTATATGACTGCCAACTTCAGTTCAGAGGCCAAATTTTCATATTTAAACAAAAATAAAAACTTATTTAGATTAACATTAATTATTTAAGAAAGAGCAAACGATTGAAATTTTTCTGGAAACATTTTTGTTACAACAGACATTTTATCAGTCACCTGATATTTGTCCCTAGATTATACTTCAATCCTTAGACACTGAGCGTGTCCTCTTTCCAGTTGTGAATTATGACATTTTTCTGTTACAGCAGCATGAAAAAACATATGAAGTGTTTGTTCACAGCTAGTTAGTCAGCATAACTAACAAATAATGCGTTTAACAACTGATTCTTTGAAGATCAAGGAAATAGGCGTATTGTCTCTGTAATATATTTAAAGTATTTTTCAATCAGACATCCTTTGAAATACATTTGCATATTTCCTTGGTTTATTCTAAATAAATTTCTGGTCATCACAGTACTTTTTTGGTCCACATGTCACGCCGAACGAAGAGAAGGCACTTCAATTTATCCTCATAAAAACCTAGCATGTGACCTTTTTTCTACCTTGGCCGAAGGAAAATTAGAGAACGGGTTTATCCTTTCTTGCATGGTACCTTGATATACTATTTCAATGATTACATAGTGAGTATCCGGTGTCAGGCATGTTGCCATGTAGGCTTTATACTACATGACTAAAATAAGTGGATATTAATTCGTTCAAACGAATACAAAGATGTACTGCAAAAAATGAGGAGATTACTTAAAATACGCTCAAAGCTATTCATTCCACGCACTATTTGGATGAAATGATTGCGGTCAATGTCAGCTACACTAAATAAATAAGTAAAATTTTAAAAAACGCGCAGCTGCAACTTTCATGAAGTACCCATTCCTCTAAACGTTTCAGTTCATATGTGATTTCTGAAGTCAAACACTGTGTAGCTAATCTGTTTTGAGTCACTACTTGGTTGACAGGTTTCAGAGAGTTTCGGAAAATGGATTTCACAGCTACTTGAGTTGTTCTTACTAAAAGGTAAATGCTGGAATAATTAGTATAGTTTTCCGAATACTCTTAAACCATAGAAATAAGATTCATAACAAGTTTTCCAACTGACTAATATCAATCTTATTCATCAACCAAAAACCTGAATCACGTGTGCTGCACAAAAGAAAAGCTCCACCCATCAGTCTATCCGTTAGTGTTAAAATCTTATTTCAAGTAACATTATAATATTCAGTAATAGTATAGGTTAAGCTGGTAGAAGAACATTCTTTAGGATACTTGCAAACTTCTGTGTATTTAATAATAATAATGATATACTACTACCCTTTAGTTATTATTGTACAACATTTGTATTACGATATTCAACCTGATCTGATCAGCTTTTCTCCCATATCAAGTAATCTGTCTGTGATTTTCTGTTAAGATTTTGTTTTATTAATACACCCAAAGTTTTGCAAGAAAATTTGAAGTAACTATACTTTGGGCTGCTTAGTTACCTTCGCAAATGATGTATTTCGGTAATATATTTCATTTGTACAACTAATAAGGAAAATAGTCCAGTGGAGCAGCATAGATTGTTCATTTGAAAATTAGAATGGAAAATAAGCGTCACTAGAAAATTACATTTGTGAAAATTCTCCCTGTTTACCATCCCCGTGTGTAGCGTTTTTGCTCCAGTGTACTTCTACTTGATGTTGCGTCTTCGTCCTACTCATATCATCACTAGTCATTTGCTATCAGTTTTGTGTTACCATGTTGCTCTTTATACTAAAAAACGTACATTTCAACAGATAGCATTTGTCTCAGTATCATAACAGACCTCGGAAGACTGTAGGTCATCAAAGGTACAAACACTTTGCATATATGGCTACAAATAGATCTCATTAGAATACCGTTTTTATTTAAGAAGTTCAAATACATGTTACTTTACTTTGAATTCCTGGAAACCACTAGAGTTAAAATGTCAACATGCATGTGGTCCCATGCAAGAGAGTTGCTAATGAATTCACACTGAAAAATACCGATCCCACATTCCAAACTGGAAAAGAATCGTTGACAACTAATGCTTAAAGCTCATTGTGTGACAAAAACCTGGGGATTGTTTCCTGCGTTTGGTTAGAAGAATTCACATTGCTGCATAAAAATGAGTTTCCTCCTACTCTACAACTAAGAACACTTTTGTAACCTCCACGAAAGATACATTTCTGTCTACGGTGAAAAATAGCTTTTTCACACTGTTACAGTATTCACACGATTTTCGCTCCACTGACCAAAGGCCATCACTTCATAATGACCCTTCTCCCCTAAAATAACTAAACATGCAGAATTCAAAAGTGTCCTCCTTTTTACCTCACTTATTATGTAATTTTAAGCATAAATAGCAGTAAACCGACTACTTTCATCTGTTTAAAACTTGCATCAAAGCGATGTGATTCGCTTTGTACATAATGCTGATGTTGTTCTTTTTTTTCTACATTCCTTACACTGAATAGTGTACAACATAATTATGGATCAGTAACTATGGTGTCTGGTAACAAAATTATTGAAACCAACTGTTCACCGAAATATTTCTTGTTTTAAGAATTTAAAGGCTATCTGTAAAATGTCATAAGTTTTTATTCTAAGTGATAAAGTATTGAACACATACTTTTTTTAAATAAGCAAGTTATTTTTACACACTAGTGAATTAGTGTCATCTCTTAACAAAGATATTTTGTACTTATTAGGCGAAAATAGTCCGATGCTGTTACGTGTTTTACAAATGAATGTATACAACCTAGATGATAATATCTTTTCTCACCGAAAATAAAAAAAATGCTTAACCTTGAAGTTTATCTTCTGATAACCATCCCTTTTTTTATTATTCAGTCAAGTTATTTCACCATAAATACTAAGCATAAATCAGGTCAAATAAAAGATTATATAAGGCAAAAATGACATTTTCTGATATCGATAATCACATTTACTCTTTATTTCGTTTGAGTATTGCCACAAAAAAAATACTCAGAGATCAATGAATGTACAACTGAAAAACAAAAACATCCACGAACATTTCTTGAAGAATATACCTCTGATATTCAATACATTTTTTAAAACTTTCCTCATGATTTACATTGTTTGCCGTTAATGTATATGATTTTCATCATAATTCTAGATATCTTTTCTAAATGTAAAATTGCTTTTTCAGAATATGGAATGTGAAATCACACTAAAAATAAGTGATTTATTTAACATGTTTAATCAATGAAGACATTTAGTTCATTTGAGTGTTTGGACAGAAATAGACAAGTTTTGAACTAAATTTCAAATTATCTGGATCGAGTATTATACAAGGTTGAGGTGAAGTTGATGTTGATATTGATAATGATTTTGTTGTTTGAAATAATTGTTTAACAATACATTCATTTGTTTCAACAGATGGGATAAGTGTTTCTAAGGGTGTGAAATTTGTGGGGTGATTTTCAGTACTGTTTCTGGATAGATTTGACGTCAATGAGTCTGTCATTGAACTGTTATATGCTAAATTTGTACAATAAGCATAAGGTAATATGGTATCTTTTCTGTTTTTTGTCTTACCCACAGGACTACCATGGTGGATTGAACTTTCCAATGTATTTTCCAATAAAATATTAGTTACTGGATATGCCTGAAATTAAAAACACAATTATACACGTTTAAGTTATTGAGTTGAATAAACTGTAAACCATTTGAGACCTTACTTATTCACTTTCTGGCTTAATTTTCTGGTCTACCTCATCGCTTATCTGTGAACCACCACCAAGTTATTACTAAATGCAGCTGCATCGTGTGTGCTTGTTAATTTGTCAGTTTATGTTTCCTCTTCTCCTTTCCTCTTCCAGATCTTCGAAGTCACAGATAAACTTACACTTTTGTACGTGCTACCATTCTACAACATATTGACAGGCTAGACATTAAACCCACCATCTGCTGGCCCTTACAACACCTGAATAGTTAACTATAGGAACGATTCACATTTTTATCTGTACTAAGCTTTAATAACTGAACAGCTGTGAAACTGAGGTGAAAACCGTGCAGACGAAAGTGTACTTTGGTTTAGGCTTACGTCACACGATACCATTTAAACTTGTTCTGTTGAATGCAACTAAACTAAAAATTTGACCATTTTCGGGAAGCCTTGATTGTCTGACTTCTATCAAAGTGTAGTTCCAAGGTGCCTTTATGAACTGTTTTAACACTTAAACATAATGACATTCTTTTTAAGATATTTTATTCAGCTTGCATCAACATAGAAAGCTATAGAAAATTGCTTAATATTTTTTTGCTGATCCTCAGGTTGCTTCTAAAAAAGATGAAAAATACTTTCCTGCTACACTGCATATGTTGCAATTTTTGCATTGTGACTACTATGCCTAAATAATACGTGAACCTCATGTAAATGACAGGCAGGATACAAAGAATAAAAAGTAGTTTTGTCATTTTCATGCACTGGAATCAATCGAATGCTTGTTTTTTCCAAGATCATATGACGCCACATCAGGTATTGTTGCTTGACATGCTGAAATTTTCAGTGGGCCAGCATAAAAGAAACACAGTCAAGAAAGACATCACCATAACTTGCCTACGAAGAACAACCGCCAGATAGTAATATCTACAGGTGTTCACATCAATCTTGACCAATGAGACTATTACAACCAAGCATAAATTATTCATTAAACAATTAGGAAGTGATAAACAGTTACAGATACATTAAACAAACTACCGTCAAGCAAATGTCTTACTATTTTCTTGTTTAAGACTAGATTTTAAAGTATATGATGCAAGAAAAGACACCGATGATTGTTAAATGCTGATGATAACTGGAATAACCTAATCACATTCAGTGAATATTGATTTGTCGAATTAAACATCGTTGGAAATAATTCTGGTCACTAGTTAACATAAACCTGAGTATCAGTGAGTATTAAGTGGCACTGAATATCCACTTGGTATAGTTTCAACATCCCATGGTAGAGAGCATTTTCAGGCCAACACACAACCTCATATACTAATTAAAGATGTGAAAGTGAACATCTTTTCAAACCAGGGACGGACTTAAATAAGAAGGGAGATTTTTTGGAATATCACGATGGTCATGGGTAATCACATCATACTCAAATGATCACTCTATTCAGATATATGCTAAAGATTCATCAGAAGTTAATTTCTGCTAGTATAGCCCATGATGCCATACAAAGGCAGTGTCGCTTACTAATGATGATTTCTAAACTAACCACTGACGAAATTCCTATGCCATAGTACAACTTCCGACTTATTTCCGATGCAAATTCATGCAGGAAGTTAACTTTGTATGGATACATTTCTCAACAGTACCCTTGAGAGATCAATAACTATTGGTAGGAAAATTGGATATTTTTCAAATATTTTCTGGTGTTTGCCAAACATTAGAATTTTATCTTCTATCCAGTATTTTGGTTCATTTTATTAAATTTTATGAAATCAATTATACTTTTGGCTTTTAGACTACAGGAAATTCAGAAAAATTTATCCAGTAATTTTTATGTAGAATAATTCACCTGGAGCTGAAACATATTTTCTGTTGAATAATTTACCAAGTGAAGTAACTAGGTACATACCGTGAAGAACAATTAACGAAACCAATAATTTCATTTTAGTTATTAGAAAAATGAATTTTGAAATAAACTATTTACTTTGTACATAATGGATACTACCCTTAAAATTCGAGTTTTATTATTACCAGATACAATTCTGACTTATTCGTATATAAAATTGACCGTAGCTTACACTCTTATTTTAACTTTGTAGTCACAAGTTGGTTACTGAGATATCAGCAATGTGAATTAGGTTTTAAAATATTCTTAGCGATTTAATTGCAATGAATTCAGACATTTACATGGGATAATGTCTCAATTATAAAGTTATGTTTTTTTGGTGTGATCACAGAGAGTAATTTTGTTCGAACTACTATCGGAATCCAAACATCATTGTGTATAAAATTTCATTTTGAAAATTTTTTTTAATTACTTACAATACATTAGTAAAATATCTTCTGAAAACGCTTGGATAGCATCTTTATATGACTCTTTAACCCTTAGATCACAACACTATCTGTTTAAAATTCAAAGTGGTAAAATCAAGTGCAAAAAAAATGCAATAATTGCATATCACGGTTTGCAGAATCAAGTACCTACCTATATAAACTACCAAACAAGGGTGCAACAGATACTCTCAAGACGGTATTCATTCAACACTTTTCATGTTTTGTACTTGTTAATTTATATTGTAATAAGTAGAAATGTCTGAGAGTTATTTCTGTGGAAATTTAATAATTTCATCAAAGTTTTTTCTGATACGTAACTAAACAAGCATACACTAGTCAATCACTGTGGAGTAAATAATTTCCTGCAATCTAGTCGCACTCGCTGATCGGATTCTACTAATCACCTAACCATTTAGTCACCACACAAGGAGGTTCATTGTCGAAGAGTACCTTAGATTCACACTGATATCACTCGATTCCGAAGACATCAGTCTTGGCCCAAATAGCTCAGTTGCAATATCTCTGACTGCAGCATTATATGATGTGGATTTCGACTACTAAATGCATATGAGTTCCCCAAAAACGCGAGGTTTACATAAATATATATATATATATATATATATATATATGTAGGAGTTTTCAGGGATATCTGAGGCTTTCCAACGATTTGTTCAGCAAAAATGCGTAAAGAAAATAATTTGCTTCATGCCAGCAGGCAGGAAAGTTTTATTTGGAGCTCGGCAAAAGTTACCAACCAACAGAAAGTTTGAGCAAATGATTCTGTTTACATATTAGTTATGTGTAGTATAACATATGTAAGGCATATCTCCCTACGGCAGTACATATTGATATCACGTCTTATCTTGTTATTAAACTGAGTTTATCAGTAGAACCAAACCAAATCATTATTATAGCCTTAAAATAAGCTGGATTTACTAACAATTTTATTCACATTTGAGACTTTGAAAAATAAGTCAGCTGGTAAGAGTATAAATCATTTCCGGCTAATGTTTTCGAAACATATTTACACGGGTTCTCAGATGTGATTTTCATCAACCTGCAACAAGTTATCTTGTGCTTTTACTGTTAAAGAAGTTCATGAAACTGCTCCAGACTAAATTATTTCCTTTCTGTCCCACTGAATGAATGATAGAATATATGATCACTAGCCTCTGCCGCCACCTGAGTTCACCTTAGATAAGATGCGGTACATCCCGTGATGTGAAAGCTTGACTGAATGTGACCCTTGGCTCTTTCTGGTTAAGTTTTGATTAATTCTATCACTTGATGCTTTGCGTTCTAAATAAATTCAGTTGCCAATATTTGTGTTGCTACATAACTCCACTGTGGTTGCCCGGAAAAGTGACTAGAAATACTCAGTTAAACGCTTAGGTTAATTTCCACTTTTATGAGACTTTTAATTAACTCTCTGAAGAGTCACTGAAATTACTCCTTTGTATACTTCACTTAGGAAACATACAAACCTGAGAATATCTTGGAATAAATTCAAAGCGCAATAACCAAAGCTAAATTGGGAAAGGGCGTATACGACTGATATGGAAAACTATACCAAGTAGGGCCTAGTAGTACTGGGACGTTTTCAGGCTTCCTAATTTGTGTAAAGCTTTTGATATCTTGGTGAGGACTGTATTTTAGCCATAACCCCACGCAAATAGAGTACTAGGTACTGCACTGCACTCAGCACAAAGCGTGAACAATATCCGATTTTCAACAGAAATGTCAAGTCAGTGCTTCTATGTGATGGTTGAGAGACTTGGCGCGTCACGAAAATCATTCCAACAAACTGCAGACATACATCATCAACAGCTGCCGCCCACGCTCACTCGATACTGAAGATGGAGATCAGATGGCCAGACTAGTAAGAATAAGCAATGAGGAACTGTAGCCTGGCAACGAACCAACGAAGCAAGTACCCATCGCCCAAAAGATATGCAGAATAAGAGAGTGGAGACGGATTGTATTGGGCACACACTGAGAAGACCGTTTGGAGACATCACACGCCAGACTGTCGAGTGGAATCCGAAGGGGAAACGACTAGTTGGGCATCCCAGCTGAGGGTGAAGTGTAGAAAACGGTATGAGGAAGAAGTGAAAGCTTCAGGGCAGTCGTGGATCCAGATTGAAAAGACTGCAGACAATTTCCCATGTATAATGGGTCTTTTATAAAGATGAGAGTCAAACATATATCGATATTGAGATAGTGAGACGATGATCATCAACAAAATGTATCGTCCTGCCAGGGTGAACACTGTTGTTAAAACAAAAAGCATTCTCCATTCTGAAAGGTAACGCTGCATACTAAATTCTTTCTTATGCTTGAGGTCACCAGTTCGTAAGTTTGTGTAGACACTTACAACACTATATAAAATAGTAGTTGAACCATAAGTTTTAGGGTTGTGAAGAATATACCCAGTGAATTTTAAAGCAGCTGGAATCCGAAACTGATAAACACAAGTAAAACAGAACCTTTTACTATATGACAAACAGATCAAACAACTAATGCATTCAAGTGAAGTAAATACAATGAAGATGGAAAATAGTTAGCAATTTGAAGAAAATTTCAATACTAAATTATAATTATTTTAG